TACATATCACCCATGTCTTCTGAGGAGAATCAAGGAAGATCACTGCTTATCAACACTGCTGAGCTATCAATGTAATGTTTGGGGGGGGGTTGGCAAAGGAGTGGTGGTAGAAACCATCTAGCCCATCCTCACAGCAGCCCTCTGAACAAGGTCTCCACCTATTTCCATTTTATCGATTCAAGCATCAGGTACAAGTATTCCAACTCGTGTATAAATTTGCGGGTTGAACTGCGGGTTTAAAAAATCCACACACCCCACACCTCATCCACCAGCCAGAGGTCGCCAATGGGATCCAGATGTTGCTTGGACTCCAACTCCAGCAGCCAGAATGTCCAACGGTTCAGGGGATGGTGCTGGGAGGTGGAGTCCGCAAACATCTGGAGGGAAGCCACATTCTATATCATGGTCATAATCATTTTGGGGGACAGGAGACCCAGCACCAAGGCTAAGAGCTCTTCCTTGAAGCAGACTGAACCCCTGGACCTCCCCTTTCTGAGTCTACTTACAAGAATCTTGGCTTGATTTAGACTCTGACAGGCTGACAGCAGAGGCATCCCGCGACTGGTCTATCATGCCAATGTTCACTTTGTGCTTGTATGGATCCAGAGCCCCCAGGAGACCAAGGACACGGATAGCCTAACAGGAACAAAAGATGTGGGGTGGGGTAGTGGGGTGGGGGTAAGAATCATCACGCTTCAAAGGAAAGCATCATCAAAAGAAGCATCACCAACGCAAAAGGCAGACAATAACTGTGAAAGCACAACCTCAAACCAGCAATTCCAAGGACAGAATTTTGGCTTTCAGTGTACAGCTGGACAATCCTAAGAGTCTCAGATGTGGCTTAAATATAGATAGAGAGACAACAGTGACCGATTCAAAGCAGAGAAGTTACCAGGTGGGATGATTCTACCAGCCAGTCATCAGCTAAGAGGCACTTTGTGTCACTGTGCAGCTCCCTGATTACTTTATCAAGCCTTCTCCACCTATTTATTTAACTCGCATGTTATAAATATGTTATAAAGCCTACAAATATGGTATAAAACCTCAAAGCAGTTTACAAAAAGCCCTTCACATGTTTTCCCGCACTACTGTCACCCTGTCATAAGCTTTAGGGATCTTTAAAAAGTACATAACACATTTTTTTAGAAAAAGTATTGATTTAAGTAACACCCCCCCCCCCCGCAACCTGTGGAGCACAATTTTCACAATAAGAAATCAAAACTTCTCATATCTCACCATGGACACCTGTAATCATTCAACACACAGTTGTGTGTGTTGGTCAAATTGGTCAAAGCACAAGAGAACATACTTCCATTCATCCCCTTTGGCATGAATTCAAGAGAATTTTTACCAAGACTGCCCTTGTTTCTCAGCCCATAGCAGCCTACCTCTCTCCGGGTACCCTGGTTCTGCTCCGTCTTCAGGAAGTTCAGCAACACCTCCAAGAGAGTTGGATATTTCCTATAGGGTTCCACCACATAGCCAGTGCTGGCCACCAGCTGACCCAGGGTCCAGAGAGCCACCTGGAACAAATCCACCGTAAAAAAGAATGCTTTTTGTTTTTGAGACATAGTTAGGATTGTGGCTAATAGCCATTGATATCATTCTACAGGTCACCAGATTGGAGAAGGTGGCCTTAGACATTAAAAAGAAAAAGACTGAGAGATATAGGGGCAAGGAATGGCAATTTGGCTTAAACGTCAAAGGTAGGCACTAAGTCCTTTGCTGATTTTTTAACATTGTGCCTCCCAGTCTTCCTGGCTTGGGGAATTACCAGCGTGGCAGTGAGCTCCTGTTTTGTGTAAGTTCGGTTCATTCAATTTATACATGGCTTCCCACTAAAAAATGTCCCAAATCAAAACTAAAGAAAATGCAATACTAAAATCAAAGAAATATTTTTACAAACAGTATAGTATCACATCATTGCTGCTGCCCCAGACACCTAGGAAAACAAATGTCAAGGTGGGCACCAGGCAAGTCTCCCTGAAGAGAGCATTCCATACATGTGTGGCTATCACTGAGAAGGTTGTAATTTCTGAATAAATAAAGGGAGGAGGCGGCTTCCTGAATGAGCACTTTGCTGGGGTTTTTGTCCTATTATTGTTCTTCTAAATTTGGTATTAATGTCTGTTATGCTATTTGTATTTTAAGAATTGCAAGTAGCTTAGAGGCATCTTTTTGTGAAAAGTGATTATTATTATGAGGTTTGCTTTGTACAATATTCTAAGATTAGTGAAAGCAGGCCACACTGCTCACCTGTCTCTTAGCAAGTAGGGAGGAGTCCTGAAGCATGTCCATGATAATGATGAAAAGCTCATCCACCCATTTCCTCATCTCCAGCCCGCTAACCTGTTGAGGGAGGAAAAAGAGGATTTGGCGGGTGAGCAGAAGGAACAAAAGTTTACAGGCATGAAGTGACCTTGGCAGCACTCACACTGCCATGAAAAGTGTGGCTCTGTCAAGCAAAATAAAATTCCAAACTTCTAGAGGTTTACCTGTGCCAGTTCACCAATGGTAGCCAGGACGTTATTGATTACTCCAGGGTTCGGATCAGGGTCAGGGTCTTTCAGTTTCACAATCAATGCCTGTTGAATGACATGCAGAAGGAGGAATTTTGATCAGGGAGGAAAATAAGTCTGCATGTGTGGCCCATTTCAGCCAAGCATTCATGCCCCGCCCAGAAAAGCACAGCAGATGCAAATCATTAAATTAATGGCGTAATGTATAAATGAATTTAGAAAAAAACAAACAATCATCCTACATGTGCTATGAAAGGCCTACCTTGAGAATGGGTTCCATATAGGGGCGGATAAGTCTCGGGGCATTGGAGACCAGGTGCCCCAACATCCTTGCACTCTGCTCTTTGATCCTGCCGACACCACTGTGCTCCAGCTCTGTCAGGATCTGAAGGGGAAAAAAGATGCCATGGAGGTGAGAGCTACTATTTCCCCAGTGAGAAGGAGATTGGGAAGTAAAGAACAGGCTTACAACTCCCATTCTCAAGCAGCAAAAGGTTATCTTTCTCCATCTGGTCCTTATCTCTATGTAATGGAACAGTGGACTTTAGCCTCCAATGGAAGAAGCAAAGATAATGAAGAAAAGACCTGCTTGTAACATCGGGCCAGGTCAGGGGTGGTTTCAGTTTTGGTCAGGACATCAGGCTGCTGGTTGGCTAGGAAGCTTCACCCAAGAACACACAATGAAGTCTTGACTCTCCACACCAAAGTTCTTCAACTTGAGTCCCCAGATGTTGCTGAACTGCAACTCCAATCATCTGCAGCCAGCTTAGCCAATTGCCAGGGATTATGGGAGCTGAATTCCAACATCATCTAGGGACTGAAGAATGAAGAAGGCCAACTCAAGCCTTCATATTCTCGCCATCAATTGCACAAACCCACCTTTTCCTCCTTAGTTGGGGCCTATGCAGGGAAAAGTCCAAGAAGAAAACTAAGAATGCAAAGGGGGACCTTTTAGGTCCTCCTCATCTGCCCTCAGGAAGCCTCCCTTGTATGTGTGTGCGCACACATCCCCGTCTCCAAGGGAAAGGTTATAGTTTAGTTGCAAAGCACTTGCTTTGCATGCAGAAGGCCCCAGGTTCAAACCACAGCATCTCCAGGTAAGGCTAGGAATGTCCCGTCAGACACCCTGGAAAGCTGCTGCTGGTTATTGTGCTAGATGGCCAATGGTCTGTGTGAGAAGGCACCACAATGTTGTACCCTGGGTCCTATGCCAAGTGGGGAAAGAGAGATCCAGCCAAACAGAGTGTACACCTTTGCTTGCCCAAACTTTCCTTTAGACCAGGGGTCAGCAAACTTCCAGCAGGGGGCCAGTCCACTGTCCCTCAGACCTTGTGGAGTGCTGGACTATATTTGGGGGGGGGGGGGGAATCAACAAATTCCTATGCCCCACAAATAACCCAGAGATGCATTTTAAATAAAAGGACACATTCTACTCATGTAAAAACACCAGGAAGGCCCCACAAATAACCCAGAATTGCATTTTAAATAAAAGGACACATTCTACTCATATAAAAACACGTTGATTCCTGAACCGTCCATGGGCTGGATTTAGAAGGGGATTGGGCCGCATCCGGCCCCCGGACCTTAGTTTGCCTACTCATGTTTTAGACCTTTTCACTGCCACCAGGTGAAAGGGTGGTTTGACCCCGGCTGCCTTTCACAAAACAGCCCTTGTGTCTGCTCAAGAACAACTCAAATATCATGGAACTTGGCTTCAGATGTAGGGATGTATAAACCGAGATGACAAATGTTAATAAAATCAAGTTAAATATTAACTAAAAAGGGAAGGAGGGAAGTTCTTACAAAAAATGGTTTACATAGAAAAACCTATAGAAAACAGCATATCTCACCAATGGAGCAAAAGAACAACTAAATAAATGGTTAGCCACAAAGCCAGCTCCCCCCCCCCCCCCCATCATATTCCCTAAGACCACAGACTTACCAGGCAGTTCTTCACATAAGACTTTTCTATGATCCTTCTCACTGGGATATATCCTTTGTGAGAGACCCTCCTTGATCTGAATACTAAAGAAGAACTGTGGGTATGGTTTGGGACTAGGTGACTCACAAGCCTAGCAATCAACAAGGTTCAAGGAAGCTTTTAGGTTTTAAATCTCAACTCAAGACAGGCTACGTGAGATCCCTCACATCTTCAATGGTTTTCCCACCTTCCAATCTGAGTGCCCAGACAGGTCAGGCTTAATAAGTTAACTCCATATTCCTCAAGCAGCGTTACTAGACATGACAGTTCAATTCATTTCCTTCCCCATGCGACACAGTACAAGGCAGATTCCTCTGTCGCTATGACAAGGTCCCTTAAACAAAACCTAGAAAAGTGCACCTGGATCGCGGCCAAAACAAGGGTGTAGCGAAAGAGTTGTATTCAACTCAGGCCACATTTACTCCATATGCTTAACTTGCCATGACCTCCACCCAAAGAATTCTGGGAGCTGTAGCTGATTAAGGGTGCAGAGAGTTGTTAGACCTTCCTATTCCCCTCACAGACCTACAGTTCCCAGAGTGGTTTAACAGTCAATCCCTTTTCTCAGGGAACTCTGAGAATTGTAGGTCTGAGAGGGGAATAGATGGGTCTCTTTCAGCTTTCAGCACCCTTAACAAACTACAGCTCCCAGAATTCTCTTTAATTGCTTTAAATGTATGGTGCAAATGTGGCCTCACAGTAGACCCACTGAAGTTAATAAACTTAAGTGAGTCATGTCCATTAACTTCCATGAGTCAACTCTAGCATTGGATAAAACCCGATCACCTCTGAAGTGGAGCAGGGCTCCCTCTGCTTTCAGGGCCAGACAGTTTCACCTTCTTGGTGCCTCTCTGAAATCCTCCAACTCCCATTACCTGAATCAGCATCTTGCGTAGGAACGGCATGACGAAAGCCGGGTTCATGCTGCTCAGCCGGCCCACGGTGCAGATGCCGAGCTCGCGGATTTCAAACACCTGGTCATTCAGGGCTACAAAAAGAGCCTGCAAGTTCTCCGCCTGGGCCAGGTGTGCGTCGAATCGCTCATCCAGGGAGGCCAGCACGCAGTATCGGATGTCAGGGTCTGAAAGAGCACATTTGAGCAGCAGGTGCTTGAGTGCAGCCTGGTTTAACAGTGCTGAATGATATAGTCAAATCACAGGGAGGGCATTGCTTCTGTGCCTGTTCTCTTGCTAGAAGAAGACATAGAAATGCCAGAAGCTGCCTCATACTGGGTCCATCCAGTCCAGTAATGTCTGTTCTGATTGGCAGTGGCTCTCTAGGGGAAGGGTGGCTAATTCCCGAAGACCCCACTGATTTTAGCAGCAGTAACAGGGGGGATACAAAGTAGACACCCCAATGAGCCCAGCATCCCAATGACCCTCTCTGATCTATCAGCTGATGAGTGGGGAGAGGTCAAGAAACCCCTTCCATGGCCGAACTGAGGAGGTGTGCCTGGGCATGTATATTTAAGATTATGAGAGCATATGTGGTGACCACACCCACTTCTGACCACTAGCATGCATCCTCCAACCCCTCAGAAAGTGGGCCAAATGCAAATGTAACCGTTCGGCCAAAAAAGGTTAGGCAGCCCTGCTCTGCGGTCTCAGGGAAAGAGAAATGTTGCCCATCATCTACTACTCGATTTTCACCAGAGATGCCAGGAATTGGATCTGGGACCTTCCAAAGAAGGTGCTCTGTTACTAAAGTAGTGTTGTTCTCCAGGAGCTGGCATATCACAGCACCCTGAAAAACTGATTATTGGGAGTTAGGACTGCTGGCCCAATGATCAGAACAGCAAGATTAAAGCAGATGGGGGTGGGGACTGTTCATATCCTTTGCTGGGAACCTGATAAAAGCACCACAGAAGTGACAAGCCTACCCCTGGCCTCTGCACTCACCTGGGTCTGTGATACCGACCACCAACAGTTTGCTGAGGACATCCGCCACCACCTGCACAGCAGTCTGGCTGACGACATGGGTGTGCCCGCTAATCAAGTGAATGGACGGCGTGAGCAGGCGCGAACATGTGCGAGCCGCCTCCATCCGGACCTCCTTGTGCTCGCTGTTGAGGAAGTGGTCCGCACAGTGCCGGACAAACTGAGTCAGTGAATGCCCTAAAAGGGGAGGGGGGTGGAACGGATGGAGAAAATATTTTGCTGCCACTCTCATGCATGAGATGCACTTGCAGGGGTGACCCTGCTGCCCCTCTCATTTAGGATTTCAACTTGTTTCCCCCCGCTGCCGTCGCTCACCTTCAAACTCAAAGCTGCCCAGGGTGCGGAGCGCAAGCGTGGTACTGCCCACATCATTGGTCTCAGGGATATTGGTGAGGCTGGGAGAAGCCAGCTGGTGGGCCAAGCCTTTTGGCATGCCTGGGTGGCGCAGGGGCCTGTGCATCAGAACCATGGAGAGCATCTTCAGCAGCCCGTCCTGGATCTCCTTCTTCAGCTGGGGGATCTGACGACTCAAGTCGTACAGCACGGCTGTCAGGGCAGGGCTGAGGGCAAGACAGAGGTCCACACAGGTCCTTTAGCTTGGCAAGCCATTAAGCAGGGGTTCAAATCCTTTTGCAGTTCTCTCCTCATCCTCTAGGCTGGGAATGTAGAACTTGTGCCCCTCCAGGTGTTACCAGGGTACAACTCCCATCAGCCACTGCCATCACAGCCAATGGTTAGGAATGATTGGAGTTGTAGTCCAGCAACACCTGGAGTTACAGGCTCCCCACTTCTGCTCCAGTCCAATAGTCCAGTCTTATTGGGCAAACTCTTTTGCAGGCTTTGGTGGTGTCAAAGCCCACAAAAGATTTTTTTAAAAAAATAATCAAAGTCATTTGGGTCTATTAGGAAAAGTCTCTCTATCTTTCTGACACACAAATTAAAAAATCATCAGAAATGTCTTGGCAGAGTCCTTCCAGGCCTGAAAACAATTCCGGCCTCAGACTAGTTGCCTGGATATAATTCCCAAAAGTTGCCAGACTCCTATCAAGAGGGTTGTGGAAGGTCAAGAGACAAAAGAATTCAGCTCTTAAACTTGCCCCACTGGTAATAACGATTAATAAAAATTGCTTGCTTGTTTGCTTGGGCATTTGCCTCACAGGAGATATTTAAAATGACAGAAGTGGACATTGAGGCCTTCAGAGGAATTCATGTGGAATTCTGGAAATACTTTAAATACCAGCACACACTCCATTCTGGAGAGACACATGGAGAACTTGACATTTCACTGAAAAACAGCAGCTTCCTCAGAGCTAACAACACATGCTGCACTTTGCATACCCCCTACACCTGACAGAGGTGCACAAGACGATTAACAGCACAATCCTAAACTTGCATGACGCCGGGATTGGGAATACCACCCCTGCTATGCCAGCAGAATGCTCACTGCATCCAGTGCAAGGCTAGCTCAGGAGGGGGCAAGAAAAACACACAGGCTGAATAAACAAAAACTCTGCCAGTGCCCACCAACTGGGAACTATGCCAGCAGCAACACCCATGACCAACAACACAGGAAGGTGAGCCAATGGATTCGTGATGATGGGGACACACGTGCTCCCAGCAAACACCCCTATATCATTATTTGTTATTATTAAAATTCTATCTGGCCCTTCCTCTCAAATGAGGTCCATGTCAGTAATAAAACAATGCAATCAATACTTTGAAAAAGAGTCAAAACTTCTGGGATGCTTCAGCACAAACATGCACACATAGCCCAGTGCTCTACCAGCAGGATAGCTGAAAATGGGTCAAGGAATGGGTGGCACACTTAAACTGTATCTTATATCCCTTCAATTCCATTCTTCAGAGGTAAATTCCTGCATGGGCAATGCATGCCAGTGTGAGATAGGGGCCAGAGGCAAAAGAACACAAATGGCTGGGGCAATGGATGCTGCTCTCACCTTTGTATAGTAAGCTACCTTCCAAGTCAGCTGTTAAGACATCATAACACCCACATCCCTCCATCCCGGCAAGTGGGAGCAACTGTCACAGTTCAGGGACCCATTCCAGCCAGGCAAAAACACTCAAGGAGGAAAGTCATAGGGAGAGTCCAGAGGGCCAGATCAAGATGCCTCGAGGGCCCCATTGTTTCCCAGCCCTGCAGGGAACACTGCTGCACTTAAACAAGAGGCATGTGTCTGCGGCCATGAAGTGGGCATGCACCAAGGAGAAGCCACCAAGTGCAACAGCTCCGTGGCGTAAGCCCACTTGATGTTTCAGATGTATTTGGGGTAGTACTAACTAAGTTTTACCTAGGGCAGACCCACTGGGGCTAATTTAATCATGGCCATTAATTTCAGTGCATCCACTCTGAGTAGAACTAGCACTAGAGACAAACCCTGCCCCCTCCAGGGTTGCTGCAGTGTTTGCAGCAGGACCCAAAGAGAACATGCTAGAAATGCCTAGGACCCTCGTACCTACGGGACCACCTCTCCTGGTATGCCCCACAGAGAAACTTACGGTCTTCAAATAAAAACATCTTGAAGGTCCCAGGCCACAGAGAAGTTAGGCTGGCCTCAACTAGAGCCAGGGCTTTTTCGGCCATGGCTCCGATCTGGTGGAACACTCTGTCACAAGAGACCAGGGCCCTGCGGGACTTGACATCTTTCCGCAGGGCCTGCAAGACAGAGATGTTCCACCAGGCCTTTGGCCAGGGTACAGCCTGACTCCCTCCCTCGGCAATCTTTGCGGAGCTCTGGCCCAATGGTTGCCAGTGGCTTGAATTAATTAATTTTATAATGAATGATTTCAGAGTGTTGTTTGTGCTGTACTTTTGTACTGTTTTATTGTTGTTAGCCGCCCTGAGCCCGGCTTCGGCTGGGGAGGGCGGGATATAAATAAAATTTTCTATTATTATTATTATTAAATGTGGGTGGTGCTTAAAGCCTGAAGCGGAGCCCTAGCCAGTTGTGACTTTTGCAAAAAGGCTAGTGGTTAGCAGAGGGAAACGCAAACCCACAAGTGCCACATAGTGGCTGGCAGAGGTAACGGATAATCCCTACCTCAGTCCTACAGCCAGCATGGGTTCCAGAAGCTCCTTGATGTCTTGCTGGATGGAGGGCCCCATCGCACGTGCCAGCATACTGATACAGGTAAAGACGGTGGCATCCACCTGCACCGACTTCTGCCTCCTGCTGAAGTGCATCAGAATTACAGTTTCAAGAAGAAGGAAGTGTCATCCTGAATATCATCCTATTTGTATAACCATTTCTCCTGCCCCCTGCTGCCCCCAAGACAAAGGTACACCACCTAAGGACGAGCCAGAAGAAAACCCAGTGGGCGTGTTATTATTATTACTATTACCATTATCAATTTGTAAGATCCCAGGGCAGGTTACCACAATTAAAATATAGCGTGTGTGTGTGCACGCGTGTGTGCATTTGTGCGTAATGTGTGTGTTCTATTTGTGTGTGTGCATGTTTCTCTCTATAGATGTATGTGTATAAATTATATCAATGAATCGTAGGTGGTTTGCGTGAATTTGTTAACATTTTGTGTGAATGCATTAATGGAATAATGTAATTACGCTTTTAAATATGTTCCGAGTAGCTTGGAAACCTTTAAATCATATTAATTATAATTTTGGCACAAGCCCAATTCTTGGCAGCTTCTGTATGTT